AAACCAACTTTTGTCTAAATCCATTTGGCCGTTTTCAAGAAATCTTAAGGCCCGACATGGCCAGGTGGTTAGGGCACTCGACTCGCAATCTGAGGGTCGCGGGTTCGATTCTCCATCCCACCAAACATGCTCGCCCTTTCAGCTTACCGTATCTCGAATCTATAATGTTTGCGATAGTTGATATTAAAATGTTGCCTAATTTATTTACAGGAAAGGAAGCGATGAAGCAGACCTCGTCCCGGCACGACTAGCGAATGTTAAATGTCCACAAGTAGTGATACAATTCTACGAAGAAAGACTTACGTGGCACACTAGCTCTTCTCAAGAGGAGGAAGATAAAAAAGAGGAGTCGCAATCCTGTTCGTAGTCTGTACTTCTTGTCATTAACATCATAGGTGTGCCATCAAAAAAAGAAAGACTTCAAATCCTCCTGTTTCTCTATAGCAAGTTACTGGTTAGATCCTCGTTCCCATCTGATGTTTTTCAGATTTTCTATGTTTATTACATTCATTTTATGATTAAGATATAGTTTCTCTCTGCAGTTCTTTTATGAACGTTATCTCATGAACAACATTAGAAATAGTAAGGGTTTGATAAATATTTGCTGGCATAATAATATTATTATACCGTTAATGTGAATATTTGTGACGTAACACATCGTTATAATTAGTTTACTGTTGAATTATTGTTCTAAATTCAGTATTACAAAACTTGAAGAGAGCTAAAAAAAAAATGTAAGTTTAAAAGATCTTTAATGGTTCGTAGTCTATTTGATCACCTAAGTTAGTAACGTTTTTTAATAATTAGATAATAAGCAAAAGCTAGTTTTTATTCTTCATTGTGGCTGCTAATCTGCTGACAACTTATTGAAGTCCCGAGAAGGAATGTACTGTATTAGTGGCCATGATTCGGAACCCAAGTCTTATTTGGTGTAGAAGCATTGTGGTTGACCACTTGACCTAAGGTACTCGTTAATAATTAGACTTGGGTAATCCTATAGACTACTGACCACGATAATGGTTTATACCTAATGACCATTACTTTATCTTAAGTACTTAGTCTAAAGGGGTTTTTACACTTAATTATTTGTCCTAAAACAGTGTAAAAGTATGGGGGAATAATTGTGAAACTTGTTGTTGTTTAGTGCATTTTTTTTTATGATAAAAAATAAATAAATAAAAACCACGAGTGTGAGAAACCAGTATTAATTTCGTTTAGTGTCTTAAGAATGTTTTACTTTTTTGTTTTCTGTAGTTTTCTCTTGGTGTGTCATACATAGTGGGTAGGAATATATTTAAAACTTGTAAATTGCTGGTGTCATCTTGTACAGAAACCTGTTTAATAATTGGTATTTGTATTACTGTTCTGTTGTACATTTTAGATAATAAATCACTGTGCTATTTGTTTGAATGATTGTGTTATTGTTTTTTTGATAATATAGAAACTAAGCTACTTGTTTATATTTTTCAGAAAATAGTTGAGTTTGTTTTCAGTTGATGTGTGAATGGAATAACGTTTATTAACTGCCAATGATAAAAATAAAAGTAGGAAAAAATATGTTAGTAGAAATAACAAGGATGCAAAAAGAAAACACCCAAGTATATACGCATGCATAAGTAGTTGTATCTAAGAGACATAGAAAATAAATAAACTAATGATAGATACGCAACAAGCTGTAATAGTAAGAGTATTATATCATGTGAAATACGATGTCATTCAAAACTGGATATTTAAACATTATTTTTGGACATACTTGACTGAAGGGTGAATGTATAATATACATTACTATTTGAAGAAGTGAGAAAACTTAGAGGGAAAATAGTCCATATGTGGCTTGTGGGCCTATATATTTGCATATTTTAACATTGAGCAATGGGGTGGGTCAGCTTAATAACAGGATATTTGGTCATGTCCTGCCAAGTGATGCTAAATTTGATTCACGGTAATGATGAAATACGAAATGAACAATGTTTATTACAACACAGAGTGAAATACGAAATGAACAATGTTTATTACAACACAGAGTGAAATACGAAATGAACAATGTTTATTACAACACAGAGTGAAATACGAAATGAGCAATGTTTATTACAACACGGAGTGAAATACGAAATGAGCAATGTTTATTACAACACGGAGTGAAATACGAAATGAACAATGTTTATTACAACACAGTAAAATACGAAATGAACGATGTTTATTACAACACAGAGTGAAATACGAAATGAACAATGTTTATTACAACACAGAGTGAAATACGAAATGAACAATGTTTATTACAACACAGAGTGAAATACGAAATGAACAATGTTTATTACAACACAGTAAAATACGAAATGAACAATGTTTATTACAACACAGAGTGAAATACGAAACGAACAATGTTTATTACAACACAGAGTGAAATACGAAACGAACAATGTTTATTACAACACGGAGTGAAATACGAAACGAACAATGTTTATTACAACACGGAGTGAAATACGAAACGAACAATGTTTATTACAACAAATGTAAAACAATTAATACCCTTTAATATAGTATTCCAGATTCTCCACCAAATAAATAAAGTAAAATTAAATATGGATCTTACAAGTTCCATTATGAGTTTAGTTGAATTTACAATGATTTTGAAAGTCATGTGAAACTACATGTATTTAAACAGTGGATAACAATATTTTTTGCAAGCTAATAATACATCATAACGCTCACAAAATGGTAGGAGTGTTGAACTATAACATTAAAGTTATTGAATATTACATTGTACATTTTGCGTTTGTGGAACCCAAGGGTGCCATGTTTGAGACTTATGTTTAACCCTACTCACAAGCTAGTAGGACAGCTTACTACAGATGCTCAAGACCATGAGCAACTGTCTTAACGCTTTTTTGGGGGGCGAGGGCCTGTGGACCCTCCACTGGTATCTAGGTAGTTATACAAATTAATTGGGGGTAATGGATGCGCTTCATCAATACAAAGGAAGCTTTACAAATCAAAAAGGGGGGTCTTTGGGTGTGAGTATTTTATGCTCATATATTTTAACGTGTGTACTTGCAATGATTAATACTTTATACTATATTTTACATCTGGAATTAAACTAGCTAGCCTAATTCAGTGTAAGTTAAATACATGTACATCTGTGCTTCGTTGATCCTGTATATCTTTAGATAGGTACATCTTCTCACTAGTAAATTAACATGTAGCATCACCGGAAATTGCATTTCAAGACTTAGTTGGACTAGAAAAATATTAATGGACATTAAACTGGTCTGTGATGTCAAAAATGGAACAGCTTGGAGGTCCTTTGGATAGATTTAATACAAGAAGTTTTAAATTGATAATTGGGTTCTCCTGGTTTAAATGGTACAGCTAAAGATCCAGATGTGTAGAAAAGGTTAAAAATATTTTGGCAAACGTCAACCACCGCTGGGTAGCAGCATAAACAACAGTAAAGACGAATGCCACAATCAGAATGTCCCCTGGCGGACACAGCAGATAGCCCGATGTAACTTTGCTATAAGATGCAAGCAACCAGAATGCAGCTTCTGCATTTCGGACCAAAGAGTGTAAACAAGTATTGATCTCTGGGCAAACTTGTCAGAAGAAGCAAGAATTTTATTTGCCTCATGTGATAATGGTCAGCTTTTCTCTCTGATGTTCAGATAACTTAAACACCAGTTAAAGAAACTATAGAAATATATAATTCCGAACACGCCATATTGTATGATGAAACCACCACTGATTAAGACGCAAAGCAATTAGTTGTGCTTTTTAGGTAGTTATCAGAAAGACAAAACCAGATTACGAATAGACAACATGAAGTCGTTCATGTTCATGAATGAAAGCAAGTATTGGCAAAAATATTGCATTTAGTAAAGTAATAAATAGCCACTCTTCTGAGTCTTGTTGTAAGTGGTCAAAATGTCAGTAAAATCACTTGGCATGGGATCAGTGAAGCTTTGATATGAATGAACAAAAGTCGACTGTCGACTGGACAAATAAGCCGAGTTTACCGATCAAATTCAGGCGCGATTTCTTGGTTCAGTTCTCCTAGAAAATCGTCGAGTAAAGACTTGCTACAAAATCATCTTTTCAGTTTTACAGAGACCGATTTTGAGCGAAAGAAATCTGTGGGACTAAGAAAAATCTAGTAAAAGCAGCTTTCTTTTCGAGTGCTGCATTTTCATTTTGTTTGTCAAATAATAAAGACTTTTCATTTTTTACCAGTTTTGTCCAGTCTCATTTTATACACAGTAGGAAGACTCAGTCTTATCCGATCAGAATCACTTTTTTTCCTCAACAAATCTGTAGTTATTAGCGAATCCATCTATCCGATACTTGTCAGAAAATCGTGTTTTTTTACGCGAAAATAGCATACAAGTGTATTTTGTTATAAAATTGTAACAACGATACATAGAAAGGATTGAAACAGCTATATATCAACAAAAGTTATGTTGATAAATAGCTGGATAATAACTTTTCACAAACTTGTATTAAAACGTATACCTGGAAGATGATTGGATGGGGGAGCGTGAAACAGAAACTCCTTGGTTCGCATATTATTGTGGTTAAAACAAAGTTGCTATCCGTATTTTTAACGTGGTGGGTGCATTAGAAGTCTGACAGTCAATTCAGTCTAACCAGTGATGGCGGTGGGTGGTGATGACTAGCTACCTTCCCTCTAGTCTATCAATTCAAAATCGGCCAGGTGGTTAGGGCGCTCGAATCGCAATCTGCGGGTAGCGGGTTCGTTTCCCCGTCCCATCAAACATGCTTGCCCTTTCAGCCGTGTTGGTAAAAAGAGTTGGCGGTGGGTGGTGATGACTAGCTGCCTTCCCTCTAGTCTTACACTGCTAAATTATGGACGGCTAGCGCAGATAGCCCTCATTTAGCTTTGCGCGAAATTCAAAAAACAAACAAACAATCAGTTCAAAATTAGGGATGACTTTTGCTACTCGTGTAGCACGAAATTCAACAAAAAAAAACAAGTTACTTTTTGTTTTATTAAGTAGATTTTGTGCTGTGTAAATTGTCAGCTCTGTTTATTGTGCTTATCTAAAGAACGAAATAATATAATACTAAGAGCCTTTAATCTCTAAATTATTTCAGAAAAACGAGTTGTAGATTTTGAATTGAAATATAGCAGTACAATAACAGATCGTTAAAGGTATTAATTAAAAATAAATATTAATATATATGTCGACATCATAATAGATCATTTCAGAAAGTGTCAGCCTTAGCCTCTATGGAGCTCTGGACGAGAATCGTTTAAAAATGTAACATATGAATGTGGTAAGTCCGTTAATACGTCAAACGCGTGTTTTTTAGTGTTTTGCAGTTCCTTGCTTAAGAATCACTCAAACATATCTCCAGGTCTTCAATAGCGAAGAGGCCTAGGCAACTAGCTTGATTAAGGACGGTTCTAATTTTAAGTTAGAATAAACTAAAATGTATAGAAGAATCTATGTCATGTAGATGTACGCTGAAGTATATTGTTTTAACTAATCATTATATTTAAGTGTCAATAGATGGCAGCACTCCCGAAAAACATATACTATGTTGACAGGCATAATATTCTTGATAAAAATCACGTTTTAATTTTTAGTTTTTCATTACGGAATTCAAATCAGAGGTGTAAAATAGCGTTTTAAGCCTACTTTTTGTACCACAGATGTAACTGGTTAGGCTGCTTTTCATTCAGTATTACACCTTGTCAACTGGACTGGATTGCGCCACCTAAAAGCCAATCTTAAATTCTTTATTGATTTGAAGTTCGTAAACGAACATCTGTATACAACATTAAGTGATAAATGAAAATGTATTGTAGTAATTGGCCATATAAGCAAAATGGCATCGTTATATTTATTCCGAATATGTAGCGAGAAAAGATAATGCCACCAGTAGGCAAATCTTAAATTATGCTAATGAAAATGTGTAATGACTTATATTAAAAGCAAATGTATATCACATTGGTGTAACTACTTTAGCATATGCTTCAATTATTGATTCGTGTTGTGTGAGGAAACATTTTATAGTTTGAACTGTTGTTCGAAAACAGTAGAAAAATTTTATTAATTTCCATTCTCATATCTGTTAATTTCTTTATAACTTTGGGAAATTGTATAAATTTCAAATTACTGACATTATTAATTATCGATTAATGTGATATTTAAACACATTTCATATCGGTGACAGTTCATCTTAGCAAGTACATTATCTAAGAATCATATTTGACTTTCACTGTTTATTAAAATTTGGCTTTAAAGACACCTACAAACTGTAAACAACACTAAACCTTAAAACTAAACATTATCGATTAAATTTTTTATTCTAGACTTGGCAAAATAATCACAGTGTACGATTCAAATGATCTAATGTTTGCAGTTTGATTCTGTTGAATATGTCCCGAA